TTTCATTTCATTGTAATTTCATTTCATGTTTTATTTGCTTTATTTAATTGTTCTCTTTTGCTATTTATTTTAATTTTTGATTTCGTTTGGTATTTTAGAGATTTCAAATCATATTATACCACAACAGACGATGGAAGTCCGAACTAGTAAAATTAATTGAAAAAATCGTTATATTTTCACAACTAATAAAGTATGAGAATTTCATATTTCACAGGAAGTAAATTTTATGTCATTTACAGGCAAGCACATTTAAAGTAGATTACAATGTCAAATTATAATTAAAATAAAATCTGAAATACAAATTGCAACTAAGAATAGCTTAAAAGGGGTTAATTTACGTTTGAAAGGGGGGTTAATTTAACACATTCACTGCGAATGACGCCAATTGGCGGCATCTGGTCATTCTACTTTGTGCGAGTGACGCCTTATGACGCGCATGTGTTTCTCTCAATAAATGTGTTAGTATTCAGTCCGCACTGAACAGAGGTGGTTGTATTTCAGTCCGCACATTTGAATAGTATTGTTCAAGAAGATTTCGGGGTGGTTTGTAATTTAGTGAATTTTAAAACTTTCTACAGCTTATTTAAATATGAGGGAAGTAGACAATAATCTGGCAGGTCCTTCAGGTGTTAAAAGACGTAAAAAGACAATAAGAGATCCAAATAAACTAACAGTTGATGAAATGTCACAGTTAGTGGACTGTTCAGATGATGAAGATGAAACTTTTGAGCTAAGTTCTGATGATGACCTTGAGTCAGAAAGTGAAGGGGAAAATTATGGTAATTTATTTCGTTTGTTTTTATTGTTTTGTTTACTGTATAAGGATATTTTCTGTTTGTCATAGATGATACGGCAGAAGAAACAATCGACCAAGAACACCAGGTTACATTCAATAGTGACAAAGAAAGTTGGCGAGATATTTGTTCCGGTATGAAACATTTTCCTTTTACTGCAACCAATCGAATGCTTGTTGATCTTCCGACAGAGGCGAAACCCTACGATTATTTTAGACTTTTTGTTGATAATGGGTTTCTTGAAAATATCATGACAGAAACGAATAAGTATGCAGAAAACTAGTTTTTGTCAAGAGGTGGTAATGAAAGATCAAGGATAACTGATTGGAAAGATCTAAAAGAAGAAGAGCTCCTGAAGTTTATTGGTTTGGTGTATCATATAGGCAATGTGAAACTGAACAAACGCCAAGACTATTGGAGGACCAGTCGGCTATTCAATTTGAAATGTTTTTCGGGTCACATGAACCGGGATAGATTTTTGGTGATACTCAGGAGTTTGCATTTTTCTACGAATCCGGATCCAAATCAACCTGAATCAAACGACTGTCTGTATAAAATTAGACCAATTATTAATTATTTCAATGGAAAAATGAAGGAACTATATTATCCCTGAAAAAACCTCTCTCTGGACGAATTTATGGTTTTGTGGCGAGGTAGACTATTGTTCCGGCAGTACATCGCAAATAAGCGACATAAATATGGACTGAAACTGTATATGTTGACAGAGCCAAATGGGCTTATACAGGATTTTGCATTTTTCTACGAATCCGGATCCAAATCAACCTGAATCAAACGACTGTCTGTATAAAATTAGACCAATTATTAATTATTTCAATGGAAAAATGAAGGAACTATATTATCCCTGAAAAAACCTCTCTCTGGACGAATTTATGGTTTTGTGGCGAGGTAGACTATTGTTCCGGCAGTACATCACAAATAAGCGACATAAATATGGACTGAAATTGTATATGTTGACCAAAAAAGGCAAATGTAATATAATTTTGTTGAAAATGTTTTTTTACTTGTTGTATTTCTTCCCACTTGACCATTTTTACCCACTAACGCCACATGGCGTCATCCGCATATATCCTTGAAACTCTGGTACGGTGCGTAGGACGCCAATAGGCGTCCGAACCTGATTTTTGTATAAATGAATAATTACTGCTTTTCACACAAAAAAAAACATTAGAGTAGTATACAGCCCCAAACACCTTATTTAAGAAAATAAATATGCCCCGCACAGGAGTAGAGCCCTTAATTATTTTACGCAGCGAATGTGTTAAAGAATAAAACAACAAAAGACAATGAGCGTCAATAAAACATATACCTCATATACTACTTGGAACTATACATTAAAACATTAAAGCACAGTATTCCGTAATTGACCTTTAAAGTGATGCAAGGAGATGTTGAACTTCTCCAGATCAATGTTACTATTGGCTAATCGTAAGATTCTTGGAATCCAGCTACTGAATGTGCGGTTTAAACAATGGCTGTTGAATTGAGCAGTTTTGAACATGTAGAGAATTTAGAGAATTTCAAAAATAAAAGCAAATCTTCACTAGATTAGGTTTTTCAGAGCAGTAGCCACATTACGGCTATTCAATGCAGATGTACAAAATGATGAATTTAATAAAACATATTCAGAATCTATTTTCCAGTTCAATCCAATGAAAAAGTGTAAAACCTCACCTTTGCTGCTGCGAGTGCTTCGTCTCAGCACTGCTCCACTTCGAGTGAGGCGGGAGGGCTCTTGGGCGTCCCTGGTAGTAGGCTGGCTACTGCTCGCCCCCAGGGCTAAAAGTTCCCTTTTACCGCGTTCTGGTAAAGACTTTCTGGACAGATGCACACTCACGCTAGGCCCAGTCGAAGGTGCGGCACTGTGACCTACCGATGTTCTACTGTGGCTCCTCAGAGGGTATTTGTGTACCTGGAGTTGAAAAACAATTTCATTCATTTTCAATTTTTCAATCTACAATACTAAAAAAAAAATAGCAATATCAGTACAATTAGTGCCTAAAAGAAAATATTTTTACCAACTTCAGAAATTATAAAACAACAGTAGGTGAAACAAACGTCACATTACACAAATTATGAGACTCCAAATATACAAACTTAATTTAAATAAATTTATTCATCGTGAATGCTCCGTAAAAAAAAACATTTCAGCGATAAACTGGAGAATGAAGACTGACATGACGTACACAGTCACTTCGTATCAACAGCTTTTTCATAACATACATTCATTCATTTACAATTTTATCTTCAATGAACGTTATTCTCGAAAACTTGAAAATAAATCAAACAATGACTAACAGTAGATAATGAAAATATGTCTTACTGAAAGAATGTTCTGTACACTTTGTTAGTTATTTCACAGAATAATCCCATTTTTGGGGTAGTAATATAATGAAGCATTAGCATATTATTCGAGTGAGAAAGTATAAAGTACCTACACCTCAATTTAATAAAAAAAAACACACTATGTAAATTTTGAATCGGTGGTGGAATATGGTAATAGGGTAACTAGCAGTTATTTAAAAAAACTCATTATTCAAAAACAGGATTATTACAAAAATGTTCGAAACGTCATACTCAACCACATATAGAGTGTTTCACTAAGTGTTCACGATCACTCTCATGATTGCAGTTTTTTTTGTTCCACTCGCTCACTTTCCCGTTCCACTCAAGTGGAATGGATTATGGATCTCTTTGGGCATTCATTTATTTATTCAATAACGGGTAACACCCAATTAAGTTTAAGAGATTTCACAATAAATTATATGAATACAACATATAATTACATCTAACTTACTTGCTAAAAGTAAAACTAATTTATTAATATCATGACCACCATTGATTGTGGAATCTTAAGATGTATATAGCCTGATTTTGATTGCGTCATTTGTTTTGACATGTCTATAAACCTTGTGTTTGTCAAGACGAATAAAGATATTATTATTATTATCTGCAACCCTACGAATATCATCTAATGAATGGTCCTTCAAGGGCATTTTTAACTTGAACGCCAAAAATTCAAGAAATTTGTTTTGTACCCCTTCAATGTTAAGTGCAGGACTTTCATAGGTGGGTAACCAAATGGAACTGCAATAATCTAAGACTGATCATGTAAACATTACAAATGACGAGGTTGAAAAAATAAAGTGAAAGTTTCAAGGAGGTTACATAACCCTTAACAATAAGTTTCAATATTATTTATATTAAAACAGAAGTATAATTCAAATTTTTATATACAATTTCAACGAAGCTATTGAATGAATTTCAAGTTTTTATGTAATCAACATGTCTTTTACAGCAATTGGATATTTGTTGATGCGTCGCAATAGTGCTTCAGAAACTAGTTCATGTAGTTCAGATGAAAAGTGAAATGCAACTTTACAAGAGTATAATACGGAAAACCAAAAACTTATTTGATAATTCAAAGATGGGGGTGGCCCAAGTCAGATGACACCCTGTATAGAACATTCATGGATATATTCTGAGAGCCCACATCAAGTGCCAATAGCAAAATGTGGACAGATTTTCAATATGTGTGCAAATAAAGATGTTGGCAAAAAATAATTTGGGATTTTTTTTTTGTATATCTTCAGAACCAAAAGAGCTATATTCGATTTCTTTACATCATTGAATAGGTCTCTAAAATACACAACTTTGCCACAATTTAACCGACACTCTATCTCTTATCGTTTACGGGATCCCCATGTTCAGAAACGATTTTGAATAGCCCTGTATACGGTTTCGTTAAATCCATAGAGAATATTAATACTTCAAAATGGTGTACAAGTGAACTCAACTTACTTGTGAAAATGCTGAACTGGAGCTCGATGTACTTGCTTCCGGATTGTCGTCCTCGTTAGAGAGATGATTGTTTTTCGAATTGAAACCCGAGCTGCTTCTCTTTCTGTGACTCCTATGACTTCTCTCTGTCTTTTCTGTCTGGTTTGTTTCGATTTTTATATTGTTCAAACTGTTACTTTTGCCAACCTTCGAATTTTTTTCGTCTTCTCTGGTATCTTTAGAGTTGCTTCTTTTTCTGTTTTTTCTACTACTTCTCCTCGATTCAACTGAAAGGTTACTCGAGCCAGAGGGTTCTGAGTTGTTAAGTCTAAAATAAATGTCTACGGGGTCTTGTTTATGGTTATTAAGGTCTAAACTATGTCTAGAATTTCTTTTTGTTTTCTGTTCAAATTCTGGCACAGCTGCTTGGTCACGGTCAGATTTGGAGTGTTTCTTCGACTTAGAATTTGGTATTTGAGAGTTCCTGTCTTTGTTACTTGTTGAGGATGTTGATGGAACTTCTTGGGATCTTGATCGTTGGTGTGTTGAAGGTTTAGACGTATCGGATTTCTTCTCTTGGGATTGTCCAGATTTTCCACTTTTGTTCTGAAACGATGTGAAATGATACTATATTTTTCACTGACAAACCATATGGAAATATTTAGGCAATTTTTTCATAGATGATTTGGAAAATATAATAGAACAATATTCAATCCACATTTAATAATTGAATTGGAGTAAATAATTGACATAAGCCAGACTTTCTATGCAACTGCCTTCGGAATGAAGAAAAAAAGTGTGGTTGAAATTAAGATCCCATTAAGTGAAAATACCTTGAGTTTTGTGAAACAGTTGACAACTAATGGAATTGGAAAACTGAAGAAAAGTTTCAGACAATCCAGAGAAAATTCTTCAACGATTCTTAAACTCAATTTCTCTTCATTCTTTTCTGATTAAGTAGTAGGTACTTTGTCCAAAATCTTCAATTTCACTCAAAGTCTCTATTATTGAATTTAAAGAATTTTGGGCCAGTTCTCAAAAACCCAATCTAATATATAAAATACATGTTTGTTGGTTGGTTGGTAAGTGATAAACTTCTACATTGCTCAACCGATTGTGATGGAACTTGAAATGTATAAGTAATTTTTCATAGAGAAGATTTTTAGGAAATCAATTTTTCTGTAACTCGCCACTAGATGGCGCGGTAGAACAATTTTTTAAAAGCACTGTTCTATAACCCTGCGCACGCCTAAGTTCGTTGATTCTGATTCTGTCAAAACATTGGAACAGCAGCAATACAGCAACATAGTACTAGTTTAGTCCCGATCTATATTTAATAATGATGATAATATTTATTGATTTTCCAGTGTACTGACTGTAACATATAAACTTATGGAAAAAATTGTAACAAATAGAATGACTTTCTTTCTAGAAAAATGTATGATGATCAACATGGTTCCAGAAAATCTCAATCAGATGATACATCTACAGCCAGTAAATTCAAGTCTATCTAGACTGACATCGATAACACTGAAGATGAAGTATCAATTTTACTCAACCTGCAAAACCATTTGATTTTGTGAGTTGTTATATAATCAGTTGAAATATGTTTTTTATTTTATGCATAATATAATTTAGCAATATATACACGAAGTTACAGTACATTTGACCTAAGGTCAATGATCGAGAATAATAACTTTGTTATTGTTTGTTATGTGAAGGCGCGTTATGTGAAGGAGGCGTCAATAAGTTGAATTTTTAAAATTAATTTCTGCAGCTTATTGATTTGGGAATACGAACAATGGATGGAACAACTCTTTTTTTGGGCTTTGAGGACATCGTCAAATGAAGAGGGAGTTTCCCAGAAACAAATTCCATATTGTAGTCTGGACTCTACAAACGAGAATTTGGTTTTCACTGAGGACAAGCCTCTGGTTTCAAATGTGTGCCTCAGAATTCAGTCCTGGTACCATCAGAGCAAAGGGAGTTTTGAAATTGAGTTATCTTCAATGTATACTCCAAAAAACTTAATCACTTGTTTTTTCAGTACATTTATCTAAAAACCCAGTCTCGATACTTGGATTAGTTGTTGTTTATTATAAACATTTGTGTCATTACTTTCTTCTGGATAAAGTCATGAGAAGTTCAGCTTACATGTCCTGTTGTATGACACAAAATACAGAGACGACTGCAAAAGACTCCTTTAAAGCTCTGCAAATACTTATGGTTCCTAGGCTTACATTTTCCAGTGTCTTATTCATATGAAAAACAACTTGCATAATAACACAAGTCACTCTAATGTATATAATCACCACACCAGAGAATCCAAAAACATACCTTAATTATCACAGTCATAATGGAATCAACTGCTATGCTCCAAAATTATTTAATGCTCAAGGCTCCAGTTAAGCAACTGTTACTTGCCTTTTATGATTTAACTGAATTTTTAAATCCTGATTTCAAAAATATCTGTGAACTGTAACATGCAAGCCATGTTTATTATTGTTCTTATGTATTTTGTATTACTTATAGATATATTACCATTTTTTAATGTCTCTGTTCCCTCCCGACTTGTGTTAACATTTGAAATGTTATCACATAAATAAATAGTTATAATTATTATTGCAAAGGACATACGATATATGGATATATATTTGGTAGGTTTGAGAATAGGTTGTAATCTATTTTTCATACCCCTAAGTGATAAGGGTGCTCCACCCCAAACATTTTTTGAACATTTCTTGAACAAAATTTTTCACTTTTATTTTTTTATGATGTGGCATAAAAAAAAACATAAATCCTTCAATTTTTACTCTTCTATCCCCAACCCTAATTTTTTAATAGCCATTTTAGTAATTCAATCATTTTTCACTTCTCACTTAGTGAACAGCACGAAGCTGGTCTCTCTCACACGATGTAAATTATCCAACAGAGCTTTTGAAGTTATTGGATTTGCCAGGCGTGCCACCGCATAATTTACAAATGGAGGTTGGAATGCTCCGTGATTTGAATATATCACGGCTGTGCAACCGCACGCGAATATTTATTAAAAAATTAGTTGTCAAAGCTAGCATTTCGAATGGCTGGTTCTGAGGTGAAAATATATCAATACCACGAATCCCTATCATACTTAAAGATGTGTCAATTTATTTTAAAAGTTTTCAATTTCCAAACAACGTCTGTTTGTGGCATGGATTTGAGTGCACCATGTTTTTCACACATACAATTGTACGTGGTATGCTCTCGAGTAGGCAAACCATCCAGTTTGTTTGTGTTAGCTAAACATGGACTAACGAAAAATATTGTACACACTTTAGCATTGAAATATTAATATTATTTGTAAGTGTTATTGTTTTGAGAAAAAATATATGTGGCAAAACGTTTGCAGAGTCAGTTATCAATATAAAACAAGTCAGAGTGAAACAAAATGCACAACCTATGAAAACAAGGCAGAATAGTAGTTATTTTCTGAACTTACTTTGTGCGAATTCCTGGACGAATTATGCTGGGATTTTTTATCGGGACTGCTGTCTTCCTGAGAGGAGGTTCGAAGACGCTTGGCCTCTGCACGCGGCTGCGTCGGCAGCACACGCTTGCGGCGGCTAGTGCTGGCGGCAGCGAGTGTGTTAGCTGGATCTGCCATAGACGAAGCGTTCTAAGCTCCTCCACTTACTAGTGACACTCATTCCCTTATTATTCAACTTGCCTTCGGATTTTTATGCTTTGCTGTAAAAAGTCATAATTCAATTGACAATCTATTACTTTTGTTGACAAGTTACACAATAACTTATAGGGTGATTTAAATGTTTCTCAAAGATGGATTAACAAAGATCAGGTCAGTTCCACCTTACCTATTCCAGATTTGAGAACTCTCATTCTTGTGTAACATATTTCAACAACAAAGTTACAGATTTTTTTGAAAGAAGCTTTGCATTATGGGGAAAATTTTTAAAAATACAAAAATTTTGAACACTTCATAACTGCAAAATGATTACTATTATGACTGAAGTACTTGACAGAAAACTTGTCACTCAATATCTACAAGGTTTTACAGATTATATTCTCTTTTAAAGTGACTGTTTTCTCTTTATATTCAACAATACTGTATTGCATGTTTGAGATCTGAACTGTTTTTCAAATTCATGACTGTTGGATTGAAACTTGCACCAAAGAGAGTGAAGTGAATGACTTCATAGCAGCTGAAATGCTTTGCATTTGATCAAATGATAACTACAAGTGATTTGAGGTTTTATAGTTTGAAATTTTATTTATGCATTTCAGATAACTCAGTTATCAGAATTAGACATAATGTAAAAAATTCTATTCTCTTCAAAAAGTCAATTGGTTACATCATAATTAGATAATGGTGCCAAGTCTGTTGGCTGAACATAAAACATTTTAATGTGTGTAGGCGGTTTTCATAAATTCCTCTTAAACGGATGTTTCTCTCAAAGGACTAATGTGACTTTTGAACAACTAATTGAAACTTAGTCGAAAACAAAATTCAGTATTTTTGAGGTAGTGACAGTTATTTAAAGTAGATACATACAATATCTGATGATCATCACCACACAACATTAATATAAATGTTGAAGACAAAGGATGGTAATGTGATTTGCTATCATTATGAATAGGGATAGGAGCAGTATATGTATTAGTGAATTTACTAACTCTAGTAATTTTATCATAGTCGTTATGAAAAGTAGTGATTTTTTTATATATCTTCAACATACACCACTACAAAAAACCGAGGAAGGCAAAAGTCATACACTTTGATAAGCTAATGTCTTCGATGTTATTGAAGAAGACCCCGTGCATTGGCTTATCCTTGTGTTTCCGCAGAAGTGAGTTGATCTCTGCGGCTGAACGGGTTTCAACTCGGTGACAGAGTTATGGTCACCTCGTTCAGTGTCGAAATCTAAACCGAGTTCATCAACTACTCGGGCAGCTGCCCTAAAGAGAAATGCTCCAATTCCTGCTCTCTCATGGTCACGGACCATGCAGAGAAGGGGATCCGAACTCCTGACGACTTTACAGGCTATATCCAGTACCATTCTGTCATGTAGACACTCCAAACTCAAAATTGCACGGCCTCCCTGTTGTCGGGGGAAGTACAACCGTGTAACGGACGATTTGGGATGCAAACTACTATAGAGATGCATTATTTTTTGGGTCTTTACGTCGAATTGATACAGCTCCTCCCGAATCCACTTCACTTCTTCAAACGAGTAGAGTAAAATTGGAACGGCAAGCATATTAGTTGCAGTAACTTTATTCTTTCCCGACAGTTCCAATGACCAGATCTGTCGAAAATCGTGCTGATACTTGCAGCGGAAAGAGTTTTTCACTGCTGTTACCTCTTGTCAGTGGCGTTGTTACACTCCGAGGTGAATATACGTCTCTCCGGCATCCAGATGGTGTAGGATGCTTCCATCTACGAGCTGCACATCCTCTCCGCATCGTCATCTTTTGAGATGGACCATTGCACATTTCTCTATCCCGAATTTCATACCGATAGCATGCGTGTACTCTTTCACCACCCTCAAGGACTGATAGAGATCCTTCTCTCCAGAGGCATAAAGTTCAAGATCATCCATATAGAACAAATGGCTGACCTTGTGCCTCCGGTTTTCGGGAGTGCCACAGTTATACCCTCGAGTATTTCTGAGCGCAACGGATAACAGCATTGGCTCCACAATTACCAAAGTCATTACACCGCTTATGCTGAATATTTTTCACCGATTGTTTCAGCACTAAATGTCACAGAACTGCAGGATAATTGTGTGAATGATCATAACTGATTTTTCAATAAAAACAAAATGGAGGTGTTCAGATACATCATCGTTCAAATTATTGAATATGAAATTTCACTGAAAAATACACAGTATATACTATGCACAGGTAATGCTGGTAATACTACTCATAATTTATCATCATATGCGATGGCAAAACGAAGAAAAATGAAATTATAAGCTGGCTATTGGATAATAGAAGTACATTATTATATGTAAATATTGTAATAATGCTATTGACATTAAACAAACATCACTTATTAGAACTGATAAGAACTGAGTTGTGTTGGTGAGGTTTGGTGTATGGGAAAACAACAAGTGTCACCACCCCTAAAAATATCACCTTACCAATGAGAACATAATGAAAATTTTTTCTTCCATAAACAAACAAGTAATCACACGATATGTTCGGAAACTTGTTTGTTTATTTCAACCCTTCGACTTTTAACCTACCAGTCTTTCAGCTATACTCGAGTAAGGGAAGTTAGTGTCTGTCTATAAAATAAATACAAAATAATAGATTTGCAATGAGAGGAAAACTTAATTGTAATCACCAATTGTAAAGACTCAATTCTCGAATCTACAGCTAGTGAACTGCTGCTGAACTAACTAATTGCATATTAGTTTAAATAATAATTTATAAAACATGTAGTTGAATTCAGTTCAAATTCAAGAAGTTCTAAAAATAGTTCACATGTATTATTTGAAACAGAACTGAAAACAAGATCCATTATCTGCAATCTAGCTTCAAACCACTTGATTGTAGATAACAAAGGATTATGATTATTTGATATACCCATAGATGATCGATCCGACAATGAACTGTAAAACTTAGTTACAAATAATATGAGAGGAAAGTCCTGTGAAAACTTTTGCATCTTTTAACATTTACAAACAGTTTCTTTTCTAATACAAAACATGCTGATAACTTAGAAAGTAAACAGAAATCAATTCAAATTCATCAGACTTGGAGAATAAGTAGTGAGTAGCTAGTTTACCTTTTTATTGAACTGTTTTATTTTTATATGAAGCTATCTTATATAATACAACAATGAACTTGAAACTGTTTTGATTCGAGTCCTCAAAAGATTAAAGAGAATTTCGAAATGCATTTACAAATCTATATTTAGATCAAGTAAGGTATTGGAGAAGCATTGCACAGAATAAACAACAGCAAGGGTTTGACATTTGTAATTTTCCTTAGTTTCAAAATAAGTCTCTCCTGTAATGTTGTAATAGACATTAAACAGATGGATTTTTGTTTGGAGTGGAACACGGCATTTGTTTTAAATTTTTTATCAAAAATTGGTGAGACACACAGGTACAGTTTACAAAATTTTGACATCAATACATATAATGTCAGTAGGTACATGTTCATATGTCTGAAACTATTGTTAACTATAATCATAGTCTGTGAAACTTTGTAAACTGTTTGGTAAAAATCTCAAAATAGAGTGTTCTAGGGCCTAACCTAGGATTTGGAGACTTTTGACATAATGTTTTTGAAAGCTACTTGGAGAAAGTTCCTACTTCTGGTAGTTATTGATGTGATGCGAAAATAAATTATTATTTAAAGTTGAGCATTATAAAAATTATCGAGAATTTTAAATATGAAATATGATTATGCCAAGATTCTTCTCTGTGGAGATAAAATTTTCTGTTGTATATGTTGTTTCCTTTGGAGAATACAAATTTGATGAATCTATTTTTCTAGATATAACTTGTTTATAGCAAGGGTTGTATATGATACTAGCGAAACTAGAACTATTATATATGTAAGTGACAAGTGTTGTTGTCAATAATAATAATGTATTCCCAATGTGATTTGAAGATTAGTTTACTGTCAAATATCACTCCTAGGTCTTTAATTTGATTTACTCTAACGAGATTTTCTCGTCACAAATTATAGCTGAAATCCAACAAGTTTAGGAATAATCTGTTATGTTCACAATATTCGGAGAACAGAATATTTTGACATTCGTTACATGAAGGTATTTTACAAAATATTTTTATATCATCTGCACGTAAAAGGAAATTCGAGAATCTGAAACATTTTTGATAGTGCTAATATGGATTTTTGCGGAAGTTCTGATGTGACAGAAAAGAATGATCATTTGAAACCTTTTTCGGTGACAATTCGAAATTGATTATGTATGTCACTCTCAGCAAGGTTCATCAAAAGAATATTATGATCAATCCATTGAAATACATACAGTAGGAAAAAAATTAACCAACATTCACATAGACCTCACAACCGATAAAATTTGAAAAGTTATATGAGTTTTTAGGTTACAAGTCCATGGGAGAAAATTTCATCTGTGAAAATGAGTTGAATGATTTGGGTTAAGGCTGGGTTCAATTTAGCCCAAGTTAGGTTAGTTGTTCTTTTCTGAGCATTATTTGTCTTCACAACTTCATTTGAATGAAAAAAATTTCCTACTCCCAACTTCGATATTTGTTGAAGATAAGTAATTTTTGTGTGGAGGAAGTCAGAGTTTTTCATCGACCTTGTGGAAGGTAAAAATACCCAAAATGAGTCAATTCAAAAATTATTATATTTACATTTTTAAATTTCTCATCCAAACATACAAAAAAAAATTAGGCGAGTTTTGAAGTTTTATGTTGAGTTTATGGAAGAAACTTTCAAATTTGAACATTTTCAACTCATTAGTTGGTTTAGGTTAGGTTCAAGTTGAATTCAGCTCATATTAGGGTAGGTTGTTAGGTTTGAGTTGAATTTAGCTTAGATTAGGTTCTCTTTACTGAGCCTTTGTTTCTCAAACTCCATTTGGATGAAAAAAAAAATCCCAAATAGGTACTCAACATTTCATCTTTTTTTGTGACTAACTTTTCTTATTTTTCATTTTCGCTAGTTATGACCATATAATTTTTGATGCCTTTTTTATGAAAAACTCAAAAATATAGATAAATTGAACAAGAATTTTATGGAAATCAAATTAGTTTCTACTGTTCTTTTGGAAAAATCTCAAGTTGTTCATCAATTATAGTGATTTTCAGATCAATAAATAATTTATCATGAATGTGGCTCTTGCAAAGCCTCTAGAATACGTGTATTTTTCTTATTTCTCTGGCATTAGTTGCATGATCCATAAGGGATGATAGTTAAGTTAACCCATGTTCCACCCCTAATTTTTCAGTGTTAGCTTGCCAACAAAAACCCATTCAGGTTTTATAGGGGTGGAAGTGATGAAAAAAAAAATGTTATTGAAAACATCATGAATTATGTGGATAAAATGAACCTGATATTAAAGAAACGTCGGAAAGGTCTTTCAGAATACAAAAAATTTAACAATATTTGATTTGAAAGTACTACTGAGAAAGTTATAATATTTCCTCCTGATTATATCTCCCTCAATAGAAACTTGATATATCTGTCAATTTTCACTATTATCTTCTGTCTGTGAAATGTAAGAGGATAGTTTTCAAATCGGGACTGTAAAAGGAAATTTCACTAAAATAAATATTTATAACACATGTGATCATTATTTCCATCATGTCTTTCATGTCTCAAAAAATATCTGAAATTTTCTAGATTTCTCTGATGAATTGTATCAGTTCAGAAAGTTAAAAATCAGTAGTATATAATAATACTAAAGTAAGCAAAAAAAAAAGCCTTTCCACTAAGTACCACTGATACTAAAAATCAAATATTGTTTGGGCTTCAAGAAGCAGTGCTAAAAAAGATTAAATTGAAGATAAATAGTTGAAAAAGTTACAAGTGAAATTGTGGCTACAGTTACTCTCATCATTGCAACTATTTGTAGTGACTCTCATCATTACAACTATTTCTAGTGACTCATGAACAAATAAACAAAATGATATCTAAGGTCGTATGAAAATGATTACTTATTTTGTTGTCCAATGAGTTGGAAATTCATGATTATCTGACCATTGTTCAAGAATAAACTATTTAATTTATGTATCTGAATTTTTTGTATCACTATTTTATTCTATCAAGTCGCTTTTTTTACACAAAGGACAAGTATCCATTTTATGAACATAAATACGACATTGGTATCAGAATGAAATAAAACTATCAATGATCAGCCAAATACAGATGGTGATTTGTAAAAAAACTAGAAATTTCCTCCATCAACCTACCAAAAAAACAGTCCATTTCATGGGTATGCACTTGATTCCTAAATTATTTCTACTAGAATGATTTTCCAAAAATAATAACGATTCAGTGAATAATTTTGTTCAACACTGTCAACTTGGAACACGAACGGCTGGCTGCCTTGCGTAGCAAATAGCGACTGAACAATCCAGTTTACACCACACAAAACTATCAAAACCAGTTTTTACTGATTGCAGAAATTCGTTTCTCCAAAAGATTTAAGAAAAGTGATAGCAAAAGTAAAAAAATATGTAAAGATGACTTACTGTGTACAAACTTTCATCACAAAACTGTTCACGAAAACATATGATCCATAATGCAATGCACCATTGTTGCCCTGTTTTATGATAAGCAAGTTTTACAAACACAAAATATAATCGCGACATCTGTTTAGCTTTTTAGGAACGTTTGAATTATATAAAGAGAATTCTTCTTGCAAAAGTTGAATTATACTGTTGTTAGCAACTGAAACTTCAGTATTTCATCTAGAGATGTTTAAATTATTGTCATACTACCTATATGATCAAATTATTATCAAAGGATAGTTAACCAATGTTTTTTGGATGGTGAATGATTTTGTCTAATTTTCATTCAGAACTCAAACTTCTGACAGGAAGCACCTACACAATCAAGGCAAATTGGAATGTTTTATGACCCTCTATTGGAAATTTCAGAAATAAATACTGTCAAAAAATTTGTTGTTCATAACTATTTTCCTCAATGTCAAACCATTGTGTCAAACATTTCCGTTGTTGAGTTAACGCAGTTGAAATATCTGCCTTTTCTGTAATTCACATCATCATAAATTAAGTATGTACTGACATTGTCTATGTGAAAAAATCGGTTGCGAGCGTACAAATACGAGCCAGAAATAAGATTAATCCAACTTTGTACACATGTTAATAGATGGTGCAAGAATCGAAATCTGTTGTGTGTGTGTTTTGATCCAATCTTTAATTTATGGGACAATGTGAAAAAACTTTCATCTAATATCAATTTATTCCCGAATGTAAACAACACTGAACATTGAGCAACTTGAAATTGTCAAACTATGTTATTTGAGTTGTACTCAGTAGCTCTATGAAGGAAATGTCAATTTTTTTTGTCTATTATTCCTTTATCAAAAGTTTTTGAGTTGAGAGGTTTTGGCAAAATATTTCCAACGTCATTCATGACGTTAGCGAAAACCAAAGGTTCGTCCATGCTTATCTGAATACTCGCATTTTTATTGCTAATCGCAAATTGCAAAATAGGTAATCATCACATTGAGCGTTCATACTTGTACGGCATATTTTCATGTGAATAGTATATCTGCTCTAAGCTGTCATTTTCTTTGAGTAAAAAAGATACAGGTATTTTGTGTTCTGTTTACGATAAAGATATTGAATGATTGATGAAAAAGGAATACGCGTAAATACCTACCTTCAAGTTATAGCCTGCCTTTCTGAGGAAGGTATCGCTTCTGTGATATTATCAACAATTCAACGGTATGAGAGCAAGTTGCACGAATATAATTGAAATTGAACTCAAATGGGGCGCAGTCAACAGTGGTCTAAACATAATCTCTAATATTTATTTTAGCCCCAAAAATAATTGAAACGAGGTTGATTAGACAAATAGCGTTCTGCTACACTCTGCCACGATAAATAAAGATCATTGATTATATTGTGAATTGTAATTGTTAGGATCATACTAGATCATTGCCGCCGAATTTTACCAACGAATTCGTTTCTACACGATTGAAGGCTTGTATGTAATGTTTCTACAGAATTCCATTAACGCGGTGTAGTCACAGTAAAAATCAACCAGTAAGTTCACTCCCACTACTTTAATTCGTAAATTCACAAAGTTCTCGGTGACCTCGAAGCGAAGTGCGGAGCCAATTTCGTTATATTACCATAGGCGTGCGCTCATACAAAAACGAAATTTAAGGATATTGTAGAAGATTTTGTGGTAAGTTACTTATAACCAACTACAAAAATCAATAACAATAATAACAACAGCGAATGAACTAAACACAATATCAATTTCCGACCGTTTATTATAACTAATACGATGCTCGTGGTACCGTCGAATCCGTCGATACTACAGCACGGAACGCGTTGGATGTAAATTTCATCCTAAGACCGGTTGAAGGTCCCCGGTTACTTGGGCGGATCACGTGGTAAGAGAGCTACTGGTTGTATTATTCTAGTGTGATGTAGTGTTGGCGATACAGGGAGCTGAATATTTGGAAGGGTTAGAATATTTAGCCTCCACATTATTGTATGTTTTGTCACGAATTTTCATTCAATCCATTTACTTGAGTAGCTCGCAAAAATTCCCACCGGTATTCATCAACATACTTCGCGTAGTAATCAAGATAGAGGGAGATGAATATGTAGAAAGTAGCGAGCCGCCCTAGCTCTGCACGGGTGCAATACTGACACTAAATCTGTAATATCTTCGAAGATATTCATTCAAATTACATACTGTGAGAGGTCATATTGATCACATTATGGTCAGCTAAGATGAAGGATGAAAAAATAATTTTGTTTTATGGAAGCTCCTTTTCCTCCCGCGGCTGGTGCCACTATTGAAATATTTAAAAATCCTTCCTTATTGCACATCTACAACATAAAAAGAAACTATATACAAAATTTCAGCCTCCGAAAAAATACCGGTATGGACAAACAGTGATGAAAATATAATTTTGTTTTATGGATGTTGGAATATTCAGAAATCCTTTCTCATTGTACATCTTCAATATAAAACGAACCTACCTTCCTTAATAATAATAATATTTATTTCTCTTGTTGAACAGTATGAAAGCATTACAATAAACATTTACATACCGTAACAAGGAAGACGTCCATGTATAACTAAAAACAAATATATATGAATATAAAACAACAAAACACGACAGATACTAAACTGTACATATGAAGGTAATTAACAGTTTTTTTTTATCGAGAGTAACTAACAAAACTCGTCAACGGTGTAGCAGTTTCTTTCGATAATATATTTTTTCAGTTGTCTTTTCAAAATGCAGATGTTCATTGAGTCCTTAATAGAAACATCTAGCTTGTTATACAGTTTGGGTCCAAGGTATAGGTGACTCTTCTGATAGAAGGAGGTTCGGTGAGGATTCGCTATCAACAACCCTCTAGTTCTAGTTGCGTATGGGTGGTCTTGCTGGTTTGCGCTAAATTTTTCTTTATTGTTAAAAACGTAGAGACACGTCTCATATATATATACAGATCAGCAACTGTGAGTATTTCCAGCTCTTTGAATGAACTTCTACATGAGTGTCGCCATCCTAAACTAGCAAAAATTCTGACCGCGCGCTTTTGTAATATAAATACTCTTTCAGCAGAGGAGCTCATACCCCAATTCAAGATTCCATAGCGCAAGTGACAGCCAATAGTTGCATAGTACAGATTCAGGAGCACCTCTCTTCAGCAATGATTCGACATAAATCTCAGTGCATAACAGTTCTTTCGTAGTTTATCACATAGTGAATCTATATGAGGAACTCAATTCAGCTTATGATCTAGAATTAGACCTAGCATTTTTGTTTCTGGTTTGGATGTCACCTCTAGTTGGCTATCTTCATATATTTTGAGAGTTTCGGTGGTGTTCTGCATTGTGGATTTGACTAATGCTGTTTTGCTGATATTTAGTGATAAATTATTTTTTTCAGCCCATTTCATTATTTTCTCATATATGGATTCTGTTGTTTGTGCAAGTGCTAATGTTTTACAATCAGTGACCAGAACATTTGTATCGTCTGCATATGCAACTATATGTACCTTAGAAAGACTATATAGATATTGTATCAAGTCGTTCGCATATATAAGAAAAAGCAGTGGTCCGAGTATAGACCCCTGTGGAACTCCTTGCTTGCAGGCCAAGGACTGACTGTGAACACCTTGAGTTCTCAGTGTTTGTGACCTGTTCTCTAGATAGGACCTCATCCAATCTTGGGCAACTCCACGAACCCCATAGCGATGCATTTTCTAGATCAGTACATAGTGATACACACAGTCGAATGCTCTAGCTCTAGAAAAATCGATGAACAAACCACAAATTTGCAGTTTGTTATCCAAGGATGTTACTACGTGTTCTATGAAATCATATAAAGCTGTTTCCGTGCTTTTATTTTGCATGAAACCATGCTGGTTTGTCGAAAGTAATTCAGTTTTGAGGAGAAACGATACTAACTGATTTTTAATATTCATTTCGTATACCTTACCCCTCTATAGTTCTCATAGCTATTTAAGTCTCCTTTTTTAAAGATCGGGGTAACGATTGCAACTTTCAATTTCTCAGGGTACATTCCCCGTTCCATGGAAAGATTTATCAGATAGGTCAAGGGGTAGACTATTTCTTCATGCATTTTTTTAGAAGATTATTTGAGACCTGATCATATCCATTAGCATTAGAATTCTTTAATTCATTTATTAAATCAAAAACCTCATATTTCTTGATTGGGTGGAGAAATATGGAGTTTGGGCAGAGTGCGACTGTATTTTCCATAAAATTGAGATCATATTCTCTTTGTTCTTCCGCTTTCGTGAAATGAGTATTAAAATTGTTAGCCATGTCAATACATGACACCTTATTTTCTCCACTCAAAATGGAAATATCTTTGGGCTTATAGTTTTTTTTATGGATATTATTTATAGTTTGCCACATGGTTTTTGATTTATTGTGAGAACTATTTATCTTATGCTCAATGCATCTTTGATTATTCTGCTTTAGTTTATCCCTGTATGTTACGGTTACTTGTCGACATATATCCTTGAAATTTTCGTTCACTCTCGCGCATTCTGAATATAGAGAAACCATGTTTTTGAGGTTATAGAGTTCGGGGGTAAGGGGGTTAGTGTTGACTTCCTTTGTTTTTTGTCTGTTTCAGTGCAAAAGAAACCTCAATGTAATATTGAAGGATTTCATGAAATCTATTATATGCTTCGTTAGGACATGTTTTCTTGTAAACATTCCGCCAGTTCTCGTTTCCCAATAGTATTTTAAAATCTGAGATATTTTTCTCTGAGAAATTTAAATAATAAGAACTTGGAACATTGGAGTTATTGGTGGTATTTTTTGTTGGGAATTCAATTATTTGTCCATAATGATCT